TTGAAGCATTAGACGACGATACAATGTATAAAACTATAATTATGGATTCGACAGGTCTTAAGGCCAGACTAAGGGGTCTTGTTTAGACCATATTTTGGCTATTAACTATATGATTTAATTAGAAGTTGGTGTGTTTTAAGAGACACTCGCTTTTCCAAAGTTATTAGCTTGCTATATGGACGATTACTTTCCTGTTTGGCAACAATAAAAAGATAGTTTGGGTGAATTCCTTGAGCTAATAAATAGAATAATAGAATAGTACTAAGTTTACTATGGAGATAGAAAAGGAAAATAAATAGCCTTTTTTCGATGTATTAGTGAGTAAGGAAGCTAATAGGTTAGATTGAGACATATATAAGCAACACACACACGGGATTTCCTATTAATTTATTCTCCAGCAATACATTTACAGTCAAGATAGGAGTTATGAAGTCTATGATAATAAGGGGTCTGCGTCTAGCAGATGTAAACCACAAGGACCAGGGGATTGGTAGATTAAAAACAATTACACATTAGGATTAGTAGATAATTACATATCCATTGTTGTTAACAAGATAAGGGGAATTTGTTGCCTTGGGCGGGATATACAATTGGACGATTTTAATCATTTTCTGATTTTGCCTTCCTGTCAGCTTGTGAAGGAGTTGGGTGATCTACCGAGGAAGTGGAACATAAAAACAATTTAAAAAGAGAAAGTAACACTTTCTTTTTGTGGATCCTTTGTTTAGAAAATTTTCAGACCCTCTTTCTATATCAGGCTACTACAATGCTTTGTGCTCATGTGGTAAGGTATATGTAGGGGAGACCTACAGATCCATCCAGAAGAGACTATGCGAAAACAAAGCTGCTTGCAATGGTCTGCGGGTCCAAATATTTAAGCTCGCTGAACCCATTTTGCCAATATAGGACATTCAATAGACTGGTCCAAAACACAATGTTTTTCTGGCTACGGGGACTTCACATCAAGGAGTAAGATTAGGGAGCTTATAGAAGTTAACAAAATGATCAATGTCCTGAACGGGAGAACAAATGTATAAAACTGAGTAGGGACTATTTGTGGCTGTTAGATAGGGTCTCAGAGAGGGAAAGGGAGGGCAGGAAGAACCGTTAGCTAGGATTATCATACTTCACATTACATACACACAATAGGGAATAGCACGAGCCCAAACATGAATCAACATTAGAGGATCGTACTCTAGTTTGTGTGTAACTGATTTACTTGTAGTCTTGAAACTTTTTTTATACGAAAAATAAATAACTTCACCTATTAGCAAGTATATCGAGTAATGTTGAAATGGTAACCAAGTCATGGAGTGCCTCATTAAGATCGCCAAAATAAGTGTACAAAAAGCGACTAGGGTTGTAGCTGGCCATCTTTTCTCTTGGCTTAGTACATTTTTGTTCTTTTCCGTGAAGTTTGGATACCATCTCTGATGATTTCTGTCACAATACAGATTAAAGCTTAGCACAGTTTCATCGGTATGTGAGGCCGGTAAGCCGAGGTCTTTTTCGCACGATTCAACAGTCTTCCTTAAGTGGCAATCTTCCTTCGATTTCCGGTGAGACCAGGTCGCGAATTCCTTCCAACCAACTTTCCATTCGAAATGGAGAGTGATGTCACAATAATCTGAAAGTGAGTTTAATAGTAGTTGTTTTACCTTGTTTTCGCAACTTGGTCATATTGCAAGGAAGACCTAGAAGAACGCATCTTGTCCAGAGTCCATAATATGCATCATAATTTCCAGAGTCCAATAGTGAACTTGGTAAGCAGCGAACAATTGACAAGCGGCGTTGAAGAGGGAGGCTGAATGAAGATCAAACGGCACAAGGTACCGGTTGTGAAGATGATTCCGCTTCACTAAACCCACATGTAGAGACACGCTCTCAGGCGACATTGTATGAAAGGAGAGCATATAATTGTGTGAATAGGTAGATGGGCAATGTTAAGTGGGGCTGAGAGAAAACGATTCCGCATTAGAAGGTAAAACAGAAAATTGGTCAAGGGGTTAACTTTACTCGTCACTTTGATAAGTTGTAACTCTGTGCACCTCTCACTGATGATGCCGGTGAAACGTTTTGGAATGTAACAATTCAACGGTCCGTTGCTAGAAATCGCGAATACCATGGCAGCGGACTCAAGACTAGGTACATTCCGCAAGGTCTTCCTGACGCTTCGACCAAGCTGCGAAAACGAGGTCGAACCATCACTATATTCATGTTAGTCTCTATTTCAGAATTAAACACTCACAGAAGAACTTTTGTCTTTTTCTATTTTCCGCGTATTGTCTTCATTTTTGTCGTCTTTGGTGTTATTTTATATTCTGTTTTTATGCTTATTTTTCTTTGTTTTATTTCTATACGAGCTACCGCACGAC